ACTTGGTGTTCTGTATGAACAGAGGGTGCAGTTGTGAACCTTCCTTGCTTGCCTGCAGTTGAGGTTCCAGGCGACGCCTCCCCCATCAAGCATTTGAGTGTCAGTATCTCGCCACACCTGTAGGAAATGTTTGACTCGCTCAGTTGGATGCAGAGGTGTTTTGGGGTACAAAACGTTTGACTCACTCACAAAACGTTTGACTTACTCACAAAACGTTTGACTCACTCACAAAACGTTTGACTTACTCACAAAACGTTTGACTTACTCACAGAACGTTTGACTCACAAAACGTTTGACTTACTCACAAAACGTTTGACTTACTCACAGAACGTTTGACTCACAAAACGTTTGACTTACTCACAGAACGTTTGACTCACAAAACGTTTGACTTACTCACAGAACGTTTGACTCACAAAACGTTTGACTCACAAAACGTTTGACTCACTCACAAAACGTTTGACTTACTCACAGAACGTTTGACTCACAAAACGTTTGACTTACTCACAGAACGTTTGACTCACAAAACATTTGACTCACAAAACGTTTGACTCACAAAACGTTTGACTCACAAAACGTTTGACTCACTCACAAAACGTTTGACTCGCAAAACGTTCGACTTACTCACTGAACGTTTTGACTCAATTGATTCATCTTTTGTTATAAAACGGTTTACGCACTCATTTGAATCATCTTTTCTTATAAAACGTTTCACCCACTCACTTGCATGCAGATATGACTTACTCATCAGACTTTTGTTATCAAGCATTTTACTCACCCAGCACTGACGTAAATACATCTTTAAACACGTATTGGAAGTTAGCAGCCAGTTATGAATACATGAAAGTGTTTCGTGACTTTATTCCCCTGGTGTATGTATTGTATATATAACAATTAAAGAATAAGTAAATTAAGGGAAAGTAGGGTTTTCTTTCTGAATGAGATAGAAATAATAAAAGCCCAACCGCAATGGTTATAAGCTAATTATTCCCCGATTTTTTTTTACATAAAAAATAAATAGGGAAATGCAGGTAAAGTGGTAACATTACAGTACAGTTTTTGCCATCTAAACCAAACGCTGGAATTCACTACAGAAATTAACTATGGGAGAAAATATAAACATGATATTTAGCTCTTCAAAAAAAACACACATATATATAAGAAATTTTCACTGTCATAACTACTGTACCTGCAATATTGATAAAATGATTCTTTATATTTATCACTTGTAATTGATACCAGATATATTATGATTAACATTAGCCTTCTTATCAATATCCCCAATATTATCTCTACAGCTGTATAATAATTATATAATAAAATTGACAATAACTATGGCAAAATAACAACTTGAGCATTATAACAAAAGTAATAGTAATAAAATAAGAAATAAAAATGGCAATTACAAAATTACTATGTCACAAGTAACAAAATAACAATAATTCAGGTACATATTTTACTTTTACTGTTGTTAACATTCAAAAGTATTTACAATATTAACTAAAACATAATATTTTCAACAACAATAACATTGAAGTAATAATTATAATATTCGAAATGGTAAAAGTAACAGTAGTAATAAGACTAATGTTAATAATGATAATAATAATAATAATAATAATAATAACAGAAATAATAACAATGATAATAATAATAATAATATTAATAATAATAATAATAATAATAATGATAATAATAACAACAACAGCAACAACAAAGATAATAATAATAATAATAATAACAACAATAACAATAATAACAGCAATGATAATAATAGTAATAATAATAATAATAATAGTAATAATAATAATAATAATGATGATCATGATAATGGAAATGATAATAATAACAATAACAACAACTTTGATGATAATGAAAATGATAATAATAATGATAATAATAATGATAATAATACTGATAATAATATTTATGATGGTTAATACAGTGGCTAAACGTTAACGCAAATAATCATTGGTGTGATGACAAAGGTTATAACAATGGTTAAGAAACAATGATGATGTATGACATATTACTGATAATGATAACTGATAATTGATATAGATGGGGAAGAGGATGAGATAATGATAATGACCTAGATCATTTTATTGTACTTTATAATTACTTATAAGACTGCCTTTAATTACCAATATTAGTTCAAATAACATTATTTAATCAATATTTTATTTTTATTGATTTATGTTTTCACCATCTCTGATATGTGATATGATCAGTTGGTGATGATATTTTAAAAATAAATAGCATTGTAATTAATATTTCTACATTTAACAGCAATGTTATTTACACAATGCTGTATTTGTCTTATATTCCCCAACCTCTCCCATACATTTTATGCTTGATAAAAATATATAAATAATT